CCATCCGGCTGGCACGGGCTACGTGCAGAGACAGCAGCACCCCGGTCAGACCTGCCCCCTCCCGCCCCCCGCAGGACCCCCAGGCAGCGTTTCCATCACACGTATTTCACCAGTGCCCAAGCCCCACAATTCACGTGGTGCAGAGGCTTCCCTTGCCACGTCCTCACGCGCTGCAGAACGAAGCCGTTGGGTTGACTTGACGGGGCATAAGGAACGACTTTGTGTGTTGGCACCACTCCAGAGGGTCCAGTCGGGTCAAGAAACACTTTAGGCTACAGACACCAAACCTTACTTGACCCCTTTTTGTGACCCATTGGTTAAACCACCAGTATCAGTACCATTTCAACGCTAGCTTGTGGGCAATTCGGAAGTCCTGCCACATGGGGCAGATTCTGGGGGTGACTGATGGAAATGAAGACAAAGTCTGTTAGAAATGGGTTACAGCATGGTAGGAAAAACCTACTAGTACTCCTAGGTAGCTTAGCAGTTTTTAAGGTTTGGGGGGTTTTGCCATACATTTCTACTGCTGTTCCAGCAAAAGCTGTTGTGTTTTGACCAGCATTTCCCCACCGCCACAGTCATATATTCTAACAGCCTCTGGCACCAACCAACCTCCTCCGGGATGCTCTACCTGGTCACATGCTCAAACATACTCTTAGACCCATGATGAAAACCACTCACAGACACTAGCTGCTGCTATTGTTATTAACGGTGATGATAATAACACCAGCCCTAAAAAAGACGGTAGAATTTCAGATTTTCAAGTTGTCCAGTCTTCACCCAAAGTTCAGAAGTTTTCACAATCCCTTTCCGTTTGCTGTAAGAACAAAAATGCACGACCACAGCAGATGAGGAAGAAGTATTCCTAATAAAAATAACGTATGACAACGGTAGTGATCAGCCCACAGAGGAGTGAGCTATTATTCTTTTCCCCTCCCATAGAGCTTCTCCACCCTTGCAATATTGCAGCTCTTTCTTCAAAGAGACTCAAAGAAAACCAAAACAATGTATGGCCTGCTTCCATTTGCTCTAAAAGTACAGAAATGTAGCACAGACAACAATGTCAGGCTCCTGTCATGACTCCATGTGTCTACGGAAGACTATTTGACCTCCACGGATAAGACTGTCCGGAAAGTCAGGGAGTGAGATTTCCTTTGCTTTAAAGTACAAGACAACTTCACTCACCTCAACATCCTCCAGCACTGCCCTCCCTAAGGCCCTCTGTTTCAGCACATGAGATCTCCTGGCCTGGGGTCAGGTCGCAGTGCCAGGCTTTAGCCGGGCAGTCAAGCTTCCCCTCTAAGTGCCCCCAGCAGAAGCACAGTGCTGCCGTCTGTCCCCACGGCCAGAATCCGAGCCTGGCTTAGCTGCCGAAGCCCTCATCCCGTTAAACACCGTGCTCACGTGCAAGGCTCCGTGTGGTGACCGCTGGAGAAACACTGGCCTGCTCCATCAAAACAATGGGTGATGGTCTCAAAACCGGATTCGATAAGGCTGAGTGAAAGGCAACCCCCGCACAGCCACGCACCCCACGGCTAAATCTGCCTCCCGCTTCCCTTCCCACGCGTGCTCGCCCCGCTGGGGAAGGAGGAGAAAGCAGCCGCACCCTGCAGGGAGAGAAGAGGGAGATCAGGAACCATCTAACCAGGGAGGCGTAAGCCACAGCTGAAATGACAACGGGGAGAAGACAACTGTGTGTCAGAGGTTGCAGGCTGTCGGAGTTCCTCGGGATATTCCAAGGGGAGCGGGAAAGCTGGGGAAAGCCGCCCGCTCAGCCATAACCCCACCTTGTCTCTTGTGTCTTATCTTTGGCTCCGTCCACATTCAGAGGAGAAGTACTCTCAGCCCTTTCTTCATCTTATTCAAATCCAGTTGTCTCTCAATTTAGCAAAATCATTATAAAGTCTCCAATCCCTGAGAAACCTGCTTCCCCCCCCAGTCTGCCGGCTAGGATTCAATTAATACCAGGCAATTTAAACTGAATTAAAAGCTCTGGCGCGAGGCTCTGTCCTGGTTTAACTTGGCCAGCATCACACCACACCCTCATTTCGATTAACACAAGTTTAAACACAGACATGGCCCTTAATGCAGCGGCAAGAGCTAGGCAAAGGTTAAATAATGAAAATACCACAAATAAATAAAAAGAAGGGAGCCCAGCAGGATAAGGACCTGCTGACTTGGCAAGCGCTCGCATTGCTTACAGTTCCATGCCCTCTTTTGGGCGCAGGCACCCTGGAAGCGAGGACAACCTCCCAGCAGCGCTGGGCAGAGGAAGGGAGGATGCTGGGGTTTACTGGGTTACAAATGCCGAGACGGACCAGGGAGCACTCGATCAGAAACGTCAGAAGGAGCAATTTACAATCAGCCCTGCGCTGAAATGTCAGCAGTGCCAATGCAGCACAGCTTCTGCTTGGCCAGGCAGAAGACTTTTGGAGTCAGGGTGTAAACGGGACTGTGAGCAGCCCAAAACCTTCCTGCTGTTTTGTGGGTGGTGGGTTCCCACCACACACTTCAAGCAGCGTGTTGGCAAGTCATTCTGACGCCTGCGGGTCCAGTGGCCGCTAGCCAAGTTACATGTAGCTTATCCTGCCTTCCTCTAAGGGTCCAGCTTATCCCATCAGTACTTTCTTATTAACTACCACGAGATAAAGAATTGGGTCATTTTAGGGCTGGTCCCACTTCACCCATGAAGCTGAGCAGCAACCTCTGCCGTTGCCATGGGGTCTGCTCCTCTGGCAGCCACACAGGGTTTGACCAGATGGGTTCCTCTAAAAGCAGGAGCAGGTCCCCAGAGTTTCTCTTTTGGATAGAGCTCATGAAGGAGAAACAAAAATTCAGGTGGCCTTGGCTGCATCCCTGGTTCCTCCTGCTGTTTCTCGGCTGGGAGCAAGCTCTGAACTCCATGGGCCAAACTCTGTGCCACTCACCTGCTGGAGGAACCTGGATTTCAGTCCATTAAGGACACAGCCCTGGGGCAGTAAGTGAAAGGGAGCCAGAAATATTACGTTAATATGCAGAAACATTCCCAGTTCTGATCATCAGCCATGGGATGAAAGAGATTGGATGGTGTAAAGTAAACAGACCAGAGCTGGGTTTATTGAGCGCGTTCCCTTGTCTGGGTATCTTATGCTAATGCTCCCAGAGATCTGGGAGATAGGAACAGTGTGAGGACTGTAAAAGGAAACCAGCAGACAGCTATTAACAGAGGGAAAATTCACAGGTACCCAAGCTTGGGCACAGGGCTGGGTTTTGTTACACAGAGGGGCTGGCAGAACACCAAGTTTCTATTCTAACATGGATGTTAATTTATTTCTGCATGTGTGTGTGTTTGTGTGGACATTAGTCCTGGCCACAACGGAGACGAAAAAGGGAGAATTTAATATGTTAGCTGCAAAATGTGCTTTGAAGTGATTTCCAGCAGCGTCCAGCGCTGAGGAGTATCACTGTGACACAAAGCAGGCCGAAACCCGCTAGGCTGAGCCCCAAACCCGCCCGGGTCCACCGCACGGCCTGGGCAGCGCCGTTAGCGGGACGGGCCCTGCAGCACGCACACAAGCCGTGTGCTTCGCCTGGGGAGCTGGATCTCCTCAAAAAAATCCCCCTGCCAGACCTGCAGTTTTGTTAGGATCAGGGAGAAAACTCTGTACCTGCCCTCACCTCAGGGGGAAACACATGGAGCGAAATACCACAAATGAGCGTTTCCAACACGAGGAATAAAACCGGATACGGGAGGAATCTAGAGCGGCTCTGCTGATGATACCACAAGCCCTGCAGCAGAGACAGTCAGGCTCCAGAGGGGAAATCCCAGGTGCCAGGCAGGACTCCGAATTCCCTGGCGATGACATGCACTTTAGCCTAAACTCAGTTCAAAAAAAAAAAAACCTTTGTGAGGCAGCCCCTCTGCCTGCCAGCGATGGCTGTCAGGGCGGCCCCACGGCACATGCCAAGTACGTTCAAAGGTCCCCTCGCAGGAAACCCCACTGAAGACATTGAGAAGTTTCTTCCTTCAGGCCAAAGATGAGTATTCTAAAGCCGTACCTCTGAATTCTGACAACCTTATAGTGAGGTGAGCAGGGCCCGACCCAGGCAAAGCAAGAAAAGAGGTGCTGAGTGCCCAGCCCAGAGGCGGGTGCCCCTGAGCTTTTCAAAAGCGATTAAAAAAAACCATGAGGGCTTTGCCTTGGCTTTCCTTCAACTCCTGCGTTGGAGCAGAGGTGAATATCTTGGACGTCAATCTAAGTGTCCCCTGAGTGTTTATTATACCTTGCTTCCCCTTCTTTTTTTCCCCGCCTTGCAGTTCTGCTCTCTGAGCAGTGCCCGCACCTCTCACATCTTCTTTTACCTTATTTATAACTCTGATCTGAAAGAGGAGGAAAAAAAAAAATCTGTGAACTGAGCCCGTCTGCCCTCTCACCAAGCACCCGGCTATCGCAGTAAATTGCTCTCCATCCTTAAGCTGCCAGTGACTGGCAGCAGCATTCACAGCCATCTCACTCTTCTCTGTGTGGGCAGTAAGGAGACTTTGACAGCTGGTATAAAGCTTAAAATTGCCACGTAACAAAAGATAATGGCACTATAGGCGTGAAAAATGACTCGGAGCACTTACAGTCACAAGCACATGGCCACAGGGATCCATACGTTTGTTAGCGGCCTCTGACAGACCACGAAGGCAGAGGCCACATCGGTGGCAGGGCTGCTTCGCTAGAAAAAAGACGTGCTGAAATACCGCAAAGTCGGGGGGTGCCTGGAAGGGACGGGCGAGAGGGGCAGACAGGCTTCAGAAAGGCCTGCTGGGATGTGTCATCTTCAGGCCAGGTCAGAGCTGCGAGAGGTGTCTGAGCCACAGGGCAGAGAGCAGCAAGGAAACCCCACCGTGCTCCCCTGACTGCTCTCATCTGCAGACCCCAAACCAGAGGCAGGAAGGGCAGCACGCACACGGTTATATCACCTGAGAACGTGACTTCTCACCACTAACCCTGTCTTTTCTGCTTCTGCTGCAGCTGCCTGTCCTGCGAAGCGACATGAGTCTCAAGGGATCCCTCAGCAGCAGCCCCGGCTCATCAAAGTAAGGACCTCGGTGGTGGGCTTCCTCTGTCTTGTGGCTGGCATCACCACTCCTTCCTACCAGCCAGGGGACGTCCCTAGTGGTCTCACTTGCCTCCCCCCCAAGTCCCCGGTGTTTGTTTCACCCTTCCTGGGCACCTCACAAGCTGGGGCCATAGCCAGCCTCACAGCCTCACACCACGTGCCCCGCGCACGGTGGCTTGGTCATGCCGCGTTCGGCGCGGAGAGAGCAGAGGGACACCAGGAGCCCCTCCACCCGCAGCCTGGGAGCTATGGCAGCGCGCGGCAGCTTCCCGATGGAGCCAGAGCCACCAGCTCGCTCCTTCCTTGCTGCAGAGCAGGGTGTAGGTGTATGAGCACCGTGACCACTGCCTGCCCTCGGGGGGACAGGGACATGCTGACAGAGCAGAAAGCAGCCACTGGCCACCTGCTGGCTCACTGCACCGTGCAGGACAGCCCGACCACAGCACCCGAAACCCTGAGGTCCCGCTTTGATCCTCCCCTGCCAGGCCTGAGAAAACACTGCTATCTCCTGCCTGCACGCTTCTACGCACAGCCCAGGCACCCTGGAGGGGATGTAACCCACGGTTAGAGACCTGACACCCCAAAACTCAAGTGTTCATGCACAATTACGTCCTTCCACCTTTTCACATGGGACATGTGCTACATCTGAGCACCGGCCTTCGAGGGCTCTGAGCAAGCTGGGATCTAGTTGAAGATGAACCTGCTTATTGTAGGGGGGGTTGGACTAGACAACCTTTAAAGGTCCCTCCCAACAATCCTATGATTCTATGGTATTAAAAGGGTCCATACATAATCCTGGCACTCACACTGCCTCTGGCTCAGGTATCACATGGAGGGGTCTCCATTTACCTGCGCTGCTCCCAGTGACGAATCCACTTATCGCTCACTGGGAGCTGCTGTCCAGCCCCTCCAGAAGCAATGTCCTTCCAGGGGACACTGCGTGTGAAGGTAACTCTAGTGGGGACAGGCCTAGATGGGCTCCTCTGTCTCCTGTTTCCAGCGGCTGGGTTTAGTGACATGTCCTGCGGTGTGGGTAACAGCTAGGGTTGCAGAGGGAGCTGCCGGCACGGTCAGACAAGCAAATGCTTTGCCTGGTAATTCGGAGTCGTACCACGCCTGACAGACGTGATGAGGAGGGCAGGGCTGGTCCCTCTCGGGACAGCTGCAGAGCTGATTATCATGAGAGCCACAGTGTGAAGGCAGATGTTCAAACGACCTCAAGCTGATGGTTTACTTGTACCTTCTTTCTTTTACAGTGGCAGCGTGGGCAGAGCGGACGGAGCCTCCAAGCTGAGCGCAAAGGACCTGTACGGTAAGTCGTGCCCACTAAGACATCTAAGGTTTCCTGTAGCAAAAGCACCTCTGGAGATCTGGGCGTGGCTGCTGGGGAGTTTTAGGCTGGGACTCAATCAAAGCCACGTGAATCCAGACCTCCACACGCCACGGGCTGGCCTGACAGGGCGGCAAAAATGCACCTTACCTCTGTGCCCCCGCCTCCCACGGTGGGGACAGCTCTGATTTTGTGAGAACAGACAAGCTACGCAGAACACTGCATCCCCTCACCCCCAGATCCTCTCCAGTTACGTTCGCAAGATAACCTGATAAAGGGCCTAACAAAAGAAGGACTGTCCTCAGCAGGTTAATGATTATCCTCTTTTAACTACGCAGTGAACCATGAAAACTCCAGTGCCCTTTGGCTCTCTGGAAGCAGAGGGGATTGGTGGGGTGGGTGCTTGTGCAGAGCCTGATCTGCAGCTTGTTTATAAACCAGCCCAGCTCCAGAGGAGCCACTGAGTCACTGGGCAAAGAGCCATAGAGAACATTTAGGTATCAATAACGGTTATTCCTGATCTTAGCAGCTCTCTGAGCGTACCCCAGGTGAAGACTGGGCCCGTAGGGTAGGTAGAACATGCAGAAAGTTGTGTGGAGAAGTCACCTCCCTCAGTCAGTTGCTGGATGAGAAGATGGGGGTTTGTCTGGGGGAACACGAGCAGCTTTGGGGGAGCATGAGCCTGCAAACTCTCCCAGCTGAGAGCTGGCGATTGGCCTGGTTGATGCTGTCACTGGGTACAAACAGGCTGTGTGTGCCTCTTGTTGGAGGGCTTATACTCCCTTTGCAGCTATGAAGTGAGGGCGGTTTATTTGTCCCTAGGAAGTGACTTTGGTTGCTGAACGGTCCTGGCTGGAGGTTTATCACTGTGGAGTGGCCTGGAGCAGTGTCCCAAAAGTGACCTGTCTTGCCTGGGGAGAAGCGGTTGCTGGTGGGAAGGTGGGGGCTGTACTTGGTGGATGAAGTTATACAAAGCCACTGTTGACTTCCAATAGCTGCAAAGAAGTGAAACGTGGGAATAAATCTAGAGGAGAAATTTGGTGTTACTGGCCGGGGCCATTTGTGGCCAGGATGCTGCATGATGGGCAGGTGCCAAGTGGGGGTCTGAAGTGTGGGAGTCACTTGTCTGGAGAGGAAAGGACACGTGATAAGCCTAGAAAGAAGCAGGAGGATGAGGCATGGCAATGTTTGGGTGCTGCTCCACTTTGCACACCGGACTGCTAGTTCAGGCGAGCTCCTCCTACCTCCAACAGCACTGAAAGCTCCTGCAGATGTGATCGGGGCAGAAAGAGCCCAGTTGCAAAGTAAACAGAGCGCCACAGAGAGAGGTGTAAGACTGAAACCCAGAGCTGCTGACAACGGGGTGGGAAACACGGCAAGTGCACAGGCTACCCCCCGAGGTGGAGGCAGCCCAGGGCTCTGAACTGTCAGGGTTTCGGGGGGGATCTAATCAGCAAGGCTGACTCGGTGCCTCGGCGTGGGGAGCAGGGACCACCCCGCAACCCCTCCACCGCAAAAGCTAGCAAAGGGAAAGGCTGGCAAACTGCCTTTAAAACAAACACAGTTTCTCAAATAAGCAATTTTCAACACCAAGTTACATCTTTTAAATTCTTTTGCACAGACACACCCCAACAGCAAATTTCACCAGGGATGGGACCTCTCTGATCAAATTCCAGCAAACCTTAAATGAGGGCCATAAGTCCATGGCCAAATCCTCAAGAAGAGCAAATCAGCTGCCCGTTATTTCCCTGCCACCTCTGAATCAGTATGAGAATTTACTGCAGAAGTCAGTGGCCGTTGGCCAGCTCAGCCCAGCACCACGTGGGTACATCCACAGGGTTTTTGCTTGGCAGAACTTGAAACCCGTCCCGGTAATTCAGCATGCCTTTATCAAAGGACACTCAGCATGTGTTAAACCAATATTTGAATGTCTGGGTCCCCTTTGCACTCGGATCCTCCCTCCCCCAACGCTAACTTCTGCTGTGAGCTGGCACATTTTGGGGTGGAGGGCAGGCAAGAACTAAAATTCCAGGGAGAATTATGTTTCATAATGAAACAAATCACGTCAAGCTGAGCTGGCCTTGATTATGTGATCACGATGCTGCTAAGGGACATTCAGAGCTTACAAGACTTTTCATATTTCCATTTTCCTCCAGTGTAATCAGGCTGGACCCCCAGCCTGTGTACGCTGCCAGGCCTCCAAAGAAATGGGTGCAACAGCTCCCGCATTCAGAGCACACAGTCTGTCTGCTGCATTTAAAGCTCACTGGGTGAAGTACACAGATGCTCCAACGCACACAGATGTCTGAATATTATTCCTAGGTGAATGAGGTCTTGGGTTTAGCTCTCCTAAGGTGTTTTTCTACAACAGAGTGCCTCTCACCTCAAAGCAGGTATGGGAGGAAGGAGGGCATGTACTGAACCATGAGCTCAGGTAACTTGGGCTCTAAATGCTAACCCAGCCTGAGCCTTCACTACTGGCCTAACAGGGCAGGAGTGCCAACTGCAGGGACACGACTGCTACCTGAGGGCCAAGGTGTCCCCAGTATCAACAGGGATTTACTAGCAGTATTAAAAGCCACCTCAGGCGAGACCCTGGGGAGTGATAATTAAAAGCATCGTGGTGAGGCTGAAGCAGAGCAGCAGCTCCAGGCTGTGCCCAGAAAGCCAGCTGGATGGCAGAGGTGGGGGATCTGCTCGGGGGGTTCAAGGGCATAGTGTGAAACTCACAGGGCCACGTAGGTCTGCACAGGACACGGCCTCGCGGCTGGGATGGGTGGGGAAGGCGGCTGCTCTGGTGTCACCCGTGGCCTGCTGCAGTTGCCTTGATCATCAAGCATGCGGCACGCCACCGTGTCCTCTTCACAGTGGTGAGCACAGAGGGATGCAGAGAGATAACCAAAGTCACCAGGGAATTCTGCAAAGAAACTGGCTTAAAGCCCTGAGATATCTTCCCCCAGCTCTATCCCTACCAGAGCTGGTCAGAGTTGGACACACTTCCTAGGTGCTCAGCTGTCCTCAGTGGAGTTTCCTGGCTCTCACGGGAGCAGGATACTCATCCTTTCCTCCCCCCTCAGCAAAACGGCATCACATTTGCTCAGCTCCACATTCTGGAAGAGTCTGTGGCTGCCTACACAGAGCGAGCCCCGGCTCCGCTGGCAGCAGGGGGAACGGCTGGCACCTATCAAGTTGCCACCTGACTCAATGCACAGCAAGCAGCTGAATAAATGTTAATGCACACCATAAATAAATTAAGCTGCTTCTCCGCTTACTGGCATCTGTTCTGAACCTAGATGAAAGCCTGCAGGGGGGAATCCAGCGTGGCTCCGGCAGAAGCCAAGGGAAGGGCTGGAAGGAGGTGTTTCTGCATGGTGCTTCCCACGGCAGGCTGCTGCCACCCCTCTCTGTGCTGACACCCAGGTGGACTTCTGGAGGCTTTCATCTAAGCTGCTTTCACGGCTGATCAGAGAGCGCTGTCTCTCGTGACGGATCAGGCAGCGTAACCGAGAGAAGCCGCATGAAGTCGAGGGCAGTGTAATGCTTACAGGGGATTTCTCACGGGGCTGTAGGAAGGAAACGGCTCTGCAGCAGCGTTCAGAGCAGCCCGTTCCTGTTCGGCCACCGTGCCTGTCCCTGCAGTGCTCAGCTGCTTTCCAGCACCCCTGGCCAACTCCTTGGGTGCCTTTGCCTCCCACTTCAAGTGCTGGGGCACGCTCCCCCTCCGAGGGCCACCGAGCAGAGGGGTGGGACATGGAGAGGCCCCGCAGAGGTGGGAGACACCAGCCTAGCAGGAGGGCAGCACTCGTCTCACATCCAAGCCTGTGAGACCCAGCCAGTCAGGTCCAACGTGCCCACCCCATCCTTGACACACTGATTTCTGGGAAAGACTAAAAACTTGTCAGGGTACAGGGCTGGAAAGGGGGCTCTGGAACAAGACAAACTGCCTGAAGCAGGAGTGAGGCTGGAGAAACGTGGGGCTGAACGGCAGCAGCCTGCGAGGCGCGATCACTTGACACTGCAGGCCCCCCCGTAACCCAAGAAAGGCTTCGGTGCTGTAACAGGACACGGGGCACTAACACAAAGAGCAGAGCCACTCCTGCCTGCCCGGCGTGGCCCTGGACAGGTATCATCTGCCTGGAGAGCCGCAGGGAGAGGAGACTCCACTGGTGCCAGCTGCATCCAGGAGCCACCAGCACCTGCTTGGCAGCCAACACTGGCCCTGGCTAGACAGAATACACAGATGGCGAAGGAGTGAATTACATTTAACGGTCACGAACCGACTCCTGGGAGTCTCTACAGACCTCCCTTGTCTCCTAACAGGGCCTCCAGCCCCCAGCCACATGGGGAGGTCTCAGAGATGAGACTCGTAAGCCTCCAGCATGGTCCCCAGACTGTAATTCCCTGCTGCCGGCTCTCCCGCACGCTTACTCGCACCCTGGGAGAGCGGAGCGTGAAGCAGGGCCTCGGGGGCACTGCTCTGAGACACCCATCACAGACAAGAGTTGTGCCAGCTCACGAATGGCCCCAAGAGCAGAAAGACAGAAACACTGACTCCAGCCAGCCTTGCTTTCCCTTGTACATGTGCATTTGCTATTGAAGGCTCAGCACAATGACCAACAAAAGGGTCCTCATTTACGATCGGTTATTGCCTGCCCAAACCACCAGCTCGTTAATTATTTCAGCTGGAGGCCACGTGGCAGCCCCACAGTTATCCACGGGAGCACTGAGGTGCTGTTCCTCCCTCACAACCCTCTAGAAGAGGGTTTGTGCACAGATTTAACACACACTGGTGCGGTCTGCCAGACACAACCCTGGCAGGAGCGGTGGCCAGAAGCCGAGTTAGCTCAGCTGCACAGTTGGGTCGAGAGGACCACGCACACATCTGAACCCAAGGGGCTCTGGGCAGCATCTGAACGGTGCCACGCTGACACAAGCTCACGTTTAGCAGCACTGTGCCACCTGCCCCCTCAGATGCAGATATA